GTATATAAAATTTTTTTGATCTTGGTATATTTATACGCTCATAATCTCGATAATTCTATGCACCTATTAGCCATATTTCACACATTATAGAGTTTCCCGTAGATTTGCCTTTAAAACTTAGAGTGATAGAGAAGTGCTGTCGGTCCGCGTACCTCTGCCTATGTAAGCTCACCGCCTGGCAAACCGGCTTATATATATATATACGTATGTCGGTATTGAAGCGCAAAAACGTATACACGGACCTTATACAAGAGGAAAAATAACTCGCTGCAGCGATTCCACGCAAATGTGGAAAGGGACAACGTTGTCACATGGACAATTGTATGGACTTGTTGATCGACTCAATAGGTTTAATTTTTCTGTTGTACATGTCTGTAACAGACTTTTTTCTCAAAGGATTTAAATTGTGCTGAACTTTATGAACTGACGACGGTGTTACGTAAGAAGTGCAGAGTCAACCCACTTGACACCATTTCTTTATTTATTGTCAAAATCAATACCTTGTAAGCTGAAAATTGAAATGTTTGGCTATGTGTAAAGAAGCCAATTAATGGTGCTCATTCACCAGAGTGAAAGAACGATCGCGTCTCGTTTTAAAAAATTATATTTATTCAAATCTCTTAATTTTATCAGTTAATAATAAACTCGAAATTTCAAACGTTACCAGCTGTCCTTCATCAGAATTTTACATAATGATGCTTTGATTTGGATTTGGGTTCAGTTTTTTTATTTCCTTTTATTTAAATAAATGCCACCTGTAAGTTATCCTTTTATTATCATTCGCAGAAAGAACGAGCAATAAGTGAAACAAACGAAAGAGAAAACAGATGATACACGTACTATCTAGATATTTTCAATGAATTAATTCAACCAACTAATGTCCTATAACAACAACAGTTTGAAGCACAAAGGAAATAGCATTTATGCAAATGGTCTGAATCTAGCTCAATTCAAAATTATGATGGAATTGTAGAAAAACCTAATATATAGGTCGCATCTTCTACATAGACGCTTTTACGTGGAACATCAAATAATCAAATTTCAAGTCCCGAATTGCAGGTTGGTCTGGAAGGACATGGTTACTAGATTTGCATTTCAAATGACTTTTTCCTTCAAGTTGTTCATGTTGTAGATAGGTTGGTCCAATTCAACCATTAAAAAATTAGCGTAAAAATGTTAATAGGGTGCATAACATTAATTTTGCCATTTATTTACATCGTTCATTGGTGTTTTTGCAGGTTCGTAGAAATTATTTAGATACAAATATATGAAAAACAGCTGAACCGGCCCCAATCTTTGAGTTTCCAAGACATCCTTAGTTTCGGTCTGAGCATCATTGAAAAATGCTGATGGCATCAAGTAGGTAACATTAGAAATTTTGAGTTCCATGTCACAAAAACTAATAAAAATAAGATGTTTGAATAAATAAAATTTTCAGTAAAAGGAACCAAAGGAGTGGCAAACACATTTCAACATCTAGCTTAAATTGTGGAGATTCTTATGAAATGAAAGATATTTAAAAATATTGAATCTGAATATCTACCGCTCGAATAGTTTTACGTTATTCCTAGGCACCTTAGCTATTTCACAAAATTGAATCAAAATCGGTTCGCTAGTGCCAGGAATATGTGGCAGTTAAGATTCGTTTAGGCAGTAGCAATAAATTTAGATACGACAAGGTTTTGATAGTCGTAGTAGGTAATGGATGATTTTATCAATAGAGAACTTTTCAAATACCTCTAGCATCATACCATGTTTACCGATAACACTGGGGAACAGTCAGTTTGAGGTGAGATATGTTTAATTTCCCTATAAGACTAGTGTGCCGAGTACTCGAAAAATATCAGATTTTTCAAATTGGTTCTACTTTTCTCCTCCTTGTCGTGGCGGTCCTGTCTCTTACATTCTTGAGCCATGAACATAGTATTCTGCGCGGACCCCTTCTTCCTCCAATCATACCGTCCATTATTAATCGCAAATTAACACAACTTATGCTTCTTTTTTAAAAAAGACCATTGACTATTCCACGGAAAAAAACCTGGATAAAGAAATACCAATACATATTGGGAATATCTTTGTTGAGCTTCTTTACAAAAATTATATAAAAGCAATAAATAGTGATACTATTCACATAAAGATTAACAAAAATTAAAGAAATGCTTTTTTCCTTTTCTGAAGGCTTTTCTATCATAATTTTGCTCAGGACAGACCCTTGCTAAGGTCCAGCAGTAGGACCTTTCATATTTTTCTTCGGTTATTCTGGTGCTCTGGTGAAACCGTTCTGCTTGTTCCTCACTGTAACTGGCCAGGTTATCCAGGATTATGTTCAGTAAAAAGGAAACCCGGGAAAATAGCCTCCAATAGCCTCAAATATGCATTAAAACGTATCATAGAAGCAACTGATAAAAATGAGTTAACTGCTTTGATATTATTAGATTGCTCGAAAGCTTTTGATAAGCTGAACCATCAGCTACTGCTTGCAGTATTGCATTTTATTGGTTTTTCTAATGAATCCGTGAAATTGATTCAAAATTATTTATCTAACCGTAAAGAAATTGTTAAAATCAACAAGATTTTTTCTGAACCTGAAACTCTCATCAGTGGTGTACCCCAAGGCTCTATTTTAGGGCCTCTCTTCTATATTATTATACGTCACAGTTGCACGCATGCCTTAAGAGCTGCTCTTTACATGCATATGCCGATGACACGCAAATATTTACGTCTTTTAAATCAGAGCAGATCGTGCTAGCAGCAGCCAGAATTAATTTTGACTTACTGTCTTTGAGCATAGCCTCTAAAAACCATTGCTTAGTCTTAAATCCGGATAAGTCAAAAGCTATCATTTTTGGTAGGAAAAAAGCATGGAATTATATTTCTAGTTCTATCAGCTTAGAGTTGGATGGCAAGCTTATACCTTTAGAAGAGAGTGTCAAAAATCTTGGCGTCCTAATTGATAATGACCTCCGTGTTCATGGCTACATCACAAATAAAATTAGGGCATCATTTCCTAAATTAAAACTAATTTATGGTCAAAGAAGGATATTGAGCGACAACTGGAAACGTACTCTGTGCGATTCTTTAGCCCTTTCTGCGTTTAATCATTGTGATGTTGTTTATCATTCCTGTATAACTAAAGCTGACAATGATCGAATTCAGCTCATGCAAAATTCATGCACGCGCCTGATTTGTGAAACTCCTAGAGGATAACGCATCAGTCACAAAATTAAGGAGATAAATTGGATGAAAATGTTTCAGCGCCGAATACTTCACTGTTTGGTACTATATCATAAAGTGATGGTGAGTCAAGTACCACAGTATTTGTGTAGTAAAGTTCAATTGAGGGTTGAGTCACATAATGTCAATGTAAGAAGCAAGAATTTGATAAGTCCTCCATGTCACATCACTTCTCAGTATGAACAATCCTTTTCATACTGTATTTATAAGTTGTATAATCAGTTACCTTCGGACCTTAAGTCTATGACACTGATATTTTTCAAAAAACACGCTAAGGCTTACGTTATGTCAAAATATTCTTTCTAGTTTAATTAAGCTTTGATATTAGTTCAACTTGGTATTCTCAAGTTGTTGCTAGTTGATGTATGTGTGTATGTATTTATGTATGCGTTTGAAATGCATGACCATGCTTTTTTACGCTTTGATAGTTGCATGTAGGTATACTTTTTTTTGCACAAAACCTTTCTTTTCTTTTTTCTTTTTCTTTTTTTGTCAATTTTCGGGGTTGAGTGAAAGAACACTACATTTGTGAACTCCGCCTTTTGGATCATATGTCGGTATAGCAAGTCGATTATTATTATTATTATTATTATTATGTATATTTATGGAAAAAATATAAGATATCTGTAGATAAGATACTGGATTTGTGGACCATGTGGTATTAGACTGAATCTGAAGCATGGCTGAGCTTTGTTTTGGGGACTCAAAGAGCACCAGGTGATCTAAAACTAAACGCAGATATGCCTTGACATTTCAACTGATTGTAGTTAGCCAATATGAGTAGTAAGTTTCATTTTCTACTTAGCCATTTGGACACTCTCTGCGATAACCTAGGCAAATTACAGTGAGGAACAAGGAGAGCGGTTCCACTAGAGCATTAGGATAATGAAAGGGATATCCTATGGTCCCTGGGATCCGTAGATGATGACAGACTAATGCTGGATCTTAGTAAGTGACTGTCCTGAGTTAAATCGCAATAGAAATGCGTTCAGAACCAGTATTTTATTTTCAATTGCGTTAGTTAACAGCATATTACTATATTATTTTTACATTGGTATTTTTATTAAAGCTTTTTCACTGAAATACCTAATTGTCTAATCTCAAAAACCTAAGACAATTTGACAAATCTGATTACTTTCTAGTATTCAGCACACCTACTATGTCACAAAGTGATCTTCCTCAGTGAAATTGTTGCAAGTTTGGGAACGTAGTTCATTTTTCCCATTTATTCCTTACGTTTCGCTTCTCTCAAGAGACAGAGTGTACACAAAAACCTAATTACATATTGTGTATATTCAATAGTAGTGTCTATAAAAACCATTAACAAAATTAATGCCAGAAATTTTTTATTGTTTTGTTCCTCAGCGAAATTAGAACTGCAGCACCAGCAATCACCTGGCAATTCTTCTACTAAGCAGCTAGCATAAACCTGGCATGTTTATTCATTTTATATAGAACCAGCCTGAGTAGTAGAGGATCATTGAGTTTATTGAAAAGCCCTTAAGGTCGATGCCTGTTTCTATATAATAATTCATTTGTTGCTTAACTATCGGAAGCTGTTCAATTCCGATTGCGTCTGTCTCTTTCTCTCATCTTAGAATACTCATATAAGAAATATTTGTCTTTTAAGGAGGTAGCGCATTAGTTCACGTAACACTATTCTTTTTCATCGAACGTCTAACTCCCAGACTACTGGCATTGAACCTAACCTCAGGAAAAGCCAAATGAGTAAGTTTTACTAGATTTTTATGACGTAAAATTCTCATCTAAGCTCTACAAACTGGGTAGTGTGTACTGACCTCATCGTTGTGATTCCAAAATATGAACGCAGGTGGCTCAGGACTATTTCTGACAACACAGGTGAGGTTAATGGTGCTACCGCGATCGATGAACAGCTCTGGACCGCCTACTATGTCAGTATCTGGCTCTGAAACAGAAAAATATTTGCGTGAGATAGGCTTACCTAATACAATGTGAAACGCTATTTTGCTGTTTTCCATTACTACGTGTCAAAGGCATTAAGATATCATTCGAAAAATGTATAGGACGCTGAGTGATAGTAACTTCACTGGCAACTAGTCGGACTGTTAAGATAATTGCTAATAGTTGACTCTTGAAAGTAACGTACTGTACATACCATTAAAACCCATAATTACCCTGTTAAACTATGCCGCCGTATAATATTTCAGATACATAACTGAATGTGTGTCAAAACAAAAAGCATAAAGATACAGATATACGTTTTTCTCCAAAATAAACTATCGTCTAATAAAATTATCAGCTTTTGTTACAATTTAAAAAAAAGGTGAATGAGTTAATGAAACACTTGTAAAATGGTGAAAGCGTCGAGTAAATTACGCACCTTGGCTTGTATTAAAAAGGAGGGAGAGCCGATCGCATACATAGTTCTTTTCAAAAAGGTTTTCCCTCTCCTACCTATTTTTAAAAAATGAGAATTGACAATTTTATAACTGGGCACCATCCTGTAACATTTTTCAAATGGAACGGAGGGTCAAGTTTGTGATACCTCACTTCGAAGCTCCTTATGAGTACCTTAAAGCACTAGAATTACAGTCGTTTCCTTGTAGAAGGGTTTATCCAATAAAATCTGCGACATGTACTTTGGACCAAATTGGCAGATTCTTACAGTTTCCAAATTTTAGTCAGCTTTTTTGAAGAGCTCTGTGTGTACTGTGTGACTTGGAAAATGATTGGAGAATTTATAGTGACGCAATTTCTAGTACTTCTGTTATACATACTCGTATATGGGGAGCTGTCTGGTGAAATAGATATTTAACGTTTGATTCAAGCCTATCGACTTTGTTGGAACGTATACGTATGATCAGTGCAGTAATAAATGGTGAAGCCTGATCTTACTTCACACTCAACCATCGAACTTAACATGCCGACCTGGTACTTCCCAAGTTTATTGATAGATAGACCCATACAAATGCAGATTGTTATCAGCACAGAGATGTAAATGGTAAATAGCGAACTTCTAGCAAAAAGCTGGGTTGTTTGTTTAGGTACTTTTCTCCAAATAGCCTCCCCACTCTGCACAAGGTCCAGATAAGTCTTAGTCTCGAGTACTACCCACATGTTTGGGGAGCTGCCGCCCCGACTACATTGTCCATACTCGATGCTGTTCAGAGGATGGCTGTTCGAATGATCGATGACGCTTCTCTAGCGGATATTTTCGGAACCCTTTCATAGTGACGGATGGTCAGTGATCTTGCTCTTTTCCACCTCTATGTCAAATAGTTTTGCCCTTCAAAGCTCTCCTTCATGATACCGCTAGGCGTTGAGCCTGCCAGATGGATCCTCCGGGCTTCTGCCTTTCATCTCAACTCTTTCAAACTTTGTTACTACTGTCCCGACATATAATAAGAATAATAGACAAATTTATTCACAATTACAACCAGTAATTACAGTAACTCATTTAAATAATAAATGTAATTGCAAAATGGGCCAACATACAGGAAAAACTGATACAAGTGCTGACCTGATTGAGGCAAAAATAATGAACATTATGTCGTGAGAATTCTGAGTGAAGTTGAGGAATAAAAAATATAAATGGTTGAGATTAAATAGAAAAAATACAGGAAAGCGGTGACGGAGGATATTACTTCTGCCACATTAATTGTTGGAAGGTTTATTATAATGTTAATTAATATATGCGTACATCATTTCATTTTTCAGTTTGCAGTAGATACTTTTTGTAGTTGACTTTGAATGACTTGGAAGATAGGTCCATAAAATGGAAGGGAATATCATTATATATTCAATAACTATTAAATGTAAAAGATATCTCAAATATAGAAGTTCGATGTAGACGGGGAGAGATACGGAAGTTACTGTGAATGTTTATGTTATGGACGTCATGCCAAAATTTTATCCTATTCCATAAATATGCAGGCGTTTTGGTAGTACAAATTTCATGGAATAATGCTGCTGAATGAAATTTTCTTCTGGAAGCCATATTGAGCCAACCAATTTCCGCTAGCTTGTATGATACCCTGTCAAACTTGCGGATGCCAAAAATGAACCTGAGACACGCCTTTTGCGTTTTTCTGAATTCATCCGCAATCCATCTTTGTTAAACAGGGTACATACACGATATCGCAGCAATTCAATAGGGACAAAACTAGAAGGTCAGTGAGAATAATCTTTGATCTAATTGGCAGAATATGGTGATGTGGGAACAACAACTTCAACCAAATAAATGACCTTTGGATGCATTTTTACGTGACCAGAGAATCTCAATTCGTTATCCATTTCCAAACTTAAATTCCTTGCCACTTTGACATTCTTAATTGTACTGTTAGCCATTTTGACAGTAAAGTTATCTTTCAAAGTAGCTTTTTGTTTACCAAATTAATGTCATTACGGCAGATTTAGATGGGTTAATGGTAAGTTGATGTGACAACGATTCAGAGTGAAGTTTATCCAATTCCATATTAAGCTCATCATTTGCAGCAGCTGAGCTGAGGTGGTCAAAAGAAAATTTTATCTGTGTATTGTCTGCATACAAATGACATATTTATTTTATTTAAAGCTTTAGTTATACTAGAAGAATATATTTGGGAAAGTATAGAACCCAAAACTGAACCTTGTGGCACACTACAACCAATCTTATGTACACTGGATAAACCATTAGATGTTTCCACAGATTGGTAATGATTGGATAAATAACTGGTGAGTAATGAAATAACAGATTCTGAACATCCGATAAAATGTAATATTAATAATAAAATTTGATGAGTTATAGTGTCAAATACTTTACTACAGTCTAGAAGAACTTAAGCTGTGAATTTTCTAGGGTCTAGAGCCAACATTATTTCATCTGTTACACCTAGTAGCGCAGTGGTACAACTTATACCTTCCCGGAATCCTGACTGGTATTCGGGCAGTATATTGAATGTATTCAAATGCGAGTTTATCTGACACTTGATTATTTTTTCTAGAACCTTTGATAATATAGGTAAAATTGAAATCGGTCTAAGATCAGACAACATAGACATATTGGTCTTTTTGGGAATTGGAATAACTTTTGATGTTTTCCATGCATAAGGGAAGACACATTCTAGTAGACATGAGTTCATGATGTGTGTTAGAATAGGCAATATAATTTATATGGGCAGCACGAAACATTTTAATGCTAATCTGATCAATACCAACAGCATTTGTCGTTACTTCGTTTAAATATTTAAGTACGGTGCCTTCAGTTACTAGGGAAAATGAAAATAATTCGGGAAATTCTATCAAACGGTTGTTGCTATTTAGTTTATCATTGTCAGTCGGCAATAAATTAGAAGTGGTCGAAAAGTGATCATTAATTTTATACGCATCATTTTATTCGTCAGGAATTCTGCCTTTGTTCTTCGATCTTTCACAAATATCCAAAACTTTACATCTCCTCCATAGTAAAGATGAGTTTCGGTTGGTTTGATCAACACAGAACCTTAAATAAGATATTTTCTCATTTCTTACAGCGGTGGTAGTTAGGTTCTTTAACTCTTTGCAAGATTACCAGTATCTTTGTTTTCCAGTAGACCTGAATTTAGAAAAAGCTTTATCACGCATGTGAATCATTAGTACAATCGTTTCCGTAATATATGGAGGCTTGGGCCTACTATATGTGGCATTTTTCAAGGGTGAAATCACGTCAAAAATATTGATAATGAATTCGTTAAAGTAGGACCATCTTTTCATTAATGTTATTCATGAACAAAATATCTTCAAAAGGTGACATCTGGAATAAATCAAGTAATGTATCACGGTGGATATTTTTTAAATTTCTGTATTCAAAAGAAGTCGTATCTCATGAAGAGGCTTAGTAAATTGCAGTGCACAAGAAACGGCAAAGTGATCTGAAAAATTACTGCCACCATGTTCGCCACTGGAGGAAATCTTTAGAACCAGGATGACATCCAAAAGCGTATGTGTTTTCAGGTTATGCGTGTAGGACCTTCAATGATTTGTTTGATATTAAACAGTTCAAGACAATTGCTAAATGTGTATAAAATGCACTTTCCAATTCCAATAGGTTAATGTTAATGTCCCCGCCACATATAATTTTGTGAGATGGTAATAAATTAGTGAAGTTGTCTTCAAGATTGGTGATAAAATTAGTAAAACTTGAGTGTGGCGGCCTATAAAGTGTACCAAATTCAAACAAAGTATTATATCTGTACCCAAGGTTGTTCAACTGAATCATAGGGAGAGCAACATCCATAATTTGGGGTTTTATCCGATCCGAAACATAGATCCTACTTTTCCAAATCTACCACCTCTATCTTTCCTAAAAAAACGAAAATCCGTCAATATTTAAGTAAGAATCCAAAATATCAGCCGTTAAGCAAGTTTCACAAATTCCGATAATATCATACTCCTCTTGCATTATGAAATTTCTAAATTCGGTAAAATGTAAAATAAGCGACCTAACATTAATGTAGCAGAAGCTAAACAGCCTCATCGCTTTCACATGACAACAGAATATATTTAATACAAAAGTAAACAGTAACGCTTTCCTAAGAGAATAATAGAAAAATAAGAAAACAAATTTTTCCCAGAACACTACAGAATATAAATAACAACCTTGGGAACATATTTATCAATAAGAAGATGTAAGGTATACAGTCGTCTAGTTATTAGAGCAAACCTGTTTTTTGGCTGGTAAACATGAGGATGCAAAAGACGATAAAGAATCTAAACTGAATCCAAATTCAAGATGAGATGTAAATAATAACAGTTAGCGCGTGATCTCTCGGTAACAGGTGGGGACAACGCCTCTTATTAGTCAATTTTCCATTAAATTTCAAGCGGTCGCCTGGCGGAATAATGCGCGGGGCAGGGGCAGGGCAGGCAGAGTTGCATTTAGGCCACCGACCGTCGCGTGTATCACTGCGTGCTCGTGTTTTCGTATTC